CCGTAATTAGTGCCTTGTTTGGCAATCTTACTTCCATAGATTGATTGAAAGTATGAAGACCAAGATGGTGATTTTATTTAATGCCTAGTTAATTATTCAGATAAAAAACAACTACTTTACCCTAAGGTATGAAGACCAAGATGGTGTGGCCTTTGTGTAGTCGCAGTCTTCTTTCTTTGTATACAAGTTGTTTAACCTTGTTTTCGTAACTTGGTCGTATTTGTAGGAAGACCTAGAGGAACGCGCATACTATGGACTCCGAACTAGGCGCGTTTATCTAGGTCCTTTTATCAATATAACCAAGTTGCGAAAACAAGGTCAAACAACTTATATACAACTGCTTTAGCTTATGCGGCTAAAAATTCTTTTTCAATCATTTATGGTATTAAAAATCCTTGTTGGTTTGACCTCGTCTCCACAACTTTGCCGATGTTACAGGAATGCCTTTTGGGGCGTACCTAATTCTTTATCTTCTGTTATAGTATTCACGTTGATTTCCAGCATTGGATCGTTGACTTGAATCGGCCAAATCCTAGTGCGACTCAGGCTGGTATAGACTACAGACTATACTGGATGATAAATTATTCTAGGAGGCAAGGCAAAGTGAAATTTAATGGCATATTGAGGCCTACTCGTGTAATTGTAGGTGACTTAGTCTATCAGCCGTTCATCAACTCATGTGACCTGTGGTGACTATACCTCTTATTAAAATCTTTTTACCAACTTACTCGTTGACAAGAACCATACTTCGCAGTTGGTGCTCGCTAAAATGCCGGTTTATTTATTGAAATGTGGTTTTTACTAATGTATAAAAGAGAAAATAATACATGCTTATTTATTTGCAGCTAGGAACTCTTTTTATTTCAAGTCAATCGATGCAAAGTTGAATTATTTATGTCAGAATAAGGCCACACCATCTTGGTCTTCACAATTTTGATTAAATTGAAGTTATTCTAAACAATCTGTTACGCCAAAACAACATGTTTATGATAGTAGTTTAAAATGTGCTAAGGGAATAAACCTTTGGGATGTAATAATAAGTCAATTTTTATTATCATCTGTACTTATTCATTGAAGTAACATTTAAGTGGACTCTACACTGTCCTTCGTCTCACTACTGTAAAAATGTTGTCGTAAACATATCGATCTATGCTTTCAATCAGATTTTCATTTTGCAATATGATTTTTAAAATAATGAGTACTTTTGTGTAAATTTTCTCCGATGCTCCAAGTTATTTTTTTCTACCTGTTCACTAAGCTTATACTGACGAACTTCCGCTTCTTTTTTCTATTCCTTCTATTTACGTTTACCACTTTTTTCATACATCCAAACCCTTTCATGTATCCCCTTCTGTACGATAAACATATTTCATACTAATTGGATGGTTGTCAGAATGATTGTATTTTGCTTATACTGTTCAACCAATGATTTTAAATGAAAACTTTGTAATTATTCTCTATATACACCAAATTTCCTTGACACATGCATCTATCACCGATCAAACTTTTAGGATGCAGAATCGGCTCGTCCAGCACGCTCTTTGCTCGAGTTTACTGAAATGCACATTTGTGTGCCTCGTCGATTTGTCGGTCGACTAATCGGTAGACAGACGGCCAATATCCAGTCCGTGATTGATAAATCTGGCGTATCACATATACACTTTAATGATCATCCCGCCGGGCCCCCATCCCCATCTCCAGCTGGGACTGATGATGCCGTTATAGCAAATGGCGTAAGTGGCAACCGTTTCCCTCTAATCATCAGCTACGAGACACATCAAGCTTGGGAGACTTGGCTAGAGGCGCACTTCATGAAGCAGTTTCTTGGCGACGGGGCTCATAAATCGCCACCTGCCCTGCCAGCAGGAGTGCCTCCGCCTCCAGCGCCACCACCACTCGGATATAGGCATAATATATTAATCAGAGTAAGCACTTTCTGTATATCTGTTATATCGCAACATCTGCAATCCTTTGGTATAAGATATTCCTTATGGCGTATTATCGAGTTACGTTCTGTTTTGACGGAAGAACATTGCTGCTCCTGATAGGCTTTTCCCAATGCTTATTACTCGCATCAAAGGCTCTGCCATAAACAGTATAATTTCTGAAAATGGGGAAATAACCTGCTATAGAATAGCCTAGTAATTCAAATCTTTACAATAGCCATACTATACTAATAATACAGTCTAAAGTTCTCATTATAACAACCTTGGTATTTTCAATGCATTATTTATGTCGGAGCATAAACGAACTGAAAGCGAAAATCGTTTATTTAATCCCATTATGAAATGCGAGTTTCTCTATTTATTGAATGAGATAAGATATTGGCTTTTGTTGGATGCATTCATGTCCTTATTTAATTAAAGTATGTTGCATTTCTGATTCACAGAATGAAAAAAATTCTATTATATTTGTTGCGAGTCCGACACAGGATCTTTTTGCGTATGAAAATTCAACAAATGTTGTTATCTGGTTCGAACGTTTGTTATTTCTGATGGTCTGTCGTTATGGCAACGCAATTGTTACTTCACTCTCCGTACACCCGGCTTTAAATAAAGACGTTAGTGAAACTAAAGAATTAAAGATCTTAGCAGGTAATTGCCAAATGCATCTATCCTACAATCTGAAGATACATTAGTTGCAAGCGCTACCATTGTAATTTACCTTGGAGGAAGAAACATGACGGAAGCCTCAAAGTATTAGGTAGAGAGAGTTCAGCTTCAGAAAAGAAGCTTACTTTATAGTGCGTAATATATATATATAGGGAGAGAGAGTTCATTTTAAGCATACAAAAATAACTTAGTATATATTGAAAATATGAAGACCAAGATGTTGTTGCCTCTGCTGTGGTCGCATATATTACTTATTTAAGAGAAAGGTCAATGGTGAGTGGAGGGTGTATAGATGTATATAATCATATATCCGATTTACTGGTAGTCTCTAAGTTCTACTTATAAACTAAGAATAATGGAACTGAGGGCCTTTAACATTTATGCCGTAATCCCATTCTTAACTTCTGACCATAATTTTGCTCAGCTTTTGAATTATTCTAGCAACTTTACAATTTATGGAAGTTGTTTGACTTTGTTTTCGCAACTTGGTCATATTAGTAGGAAGACTTAGAGGAACGCATCTAGTCCGAAGTCCATTGTATGCATTATCATTTCCAGAATAGGACCGTGGACGTGGTACATTCCCAGACGTTTCGCCGGCATCGTCATTAAGTCTCGCCATTCGTAGCTCCATATTATAAATTGA